TTCAACAAGTTCAAGTCTTAACACTTTCTGGCAGCCATTACATTTTAATAAAGAATAAGATGGAAAATAAGGACTTCCAGTGGGATGGAAGGAATGCCATTTCTAGAGGAGATTTGCAGCACTTAGATAGCAGCTGTTTACTGAACCTTCTGCACTGAGGTCTGGCCTGCCTGCTGGAAAGCTTGCCCATACTTCCAAAGATGGTAAACTACGGAAGCGTGCAGAAAAACTTTCCTTTTTTTTACTGTTAAATTTTCCATTAAAATGTATCTATTTTAGAAGAGCAACCTCCCCCTGCCTTGTTGCATCCTTATATGGCAGATCAGGCCGTCCTGTTTCGTTATAGCTCCGTCCTCTCTGATGTGAGAACACTCAGTGTAATGTATGCTTTCTCAGCACTCATGTTTTATTGATAGTAACTTTCTAGCTATTAATGAAGAGCTTGGAGAATGCAAACCAGTAGTAGAAGTTAACTAGTGTGAAGCAGTAAAGCTTTATTTCTGTGGTGTGTGACTGCAAAGACTCTCTCTGTGCCTATTACAGCTCTCCAGGAACTGCCATGTTTATTTTGGGCTTTGGGCTGATGGCTTTTTTAAGCTTGAGGTCCTAAATTGCTGTGCCTGTCCTGCGTGCAGAGCAATGTACAGCTGAAAAGCAGTTATGAGACATGCAAAAGTAGATATGGAAAGTGACATTTTGGCTCTGAAGTATAATGTGGAAGAAGAGAGAGCGCTGTATTTTGCACCTCCCTCCTTATCTCCTCCCCACTGTGTGTGTCTGTACGTTGCAAGCCTGTGATGTTTTTTTTGGAGCTGAAAGTCAGAAGGGTTTTCTTTTTTGTGCTAGTTGTTCCTTGCAGTGTTACACACATTTCTTTTGAACACCCCACGGTCTGTGGGAAACTCAGCTGCGGTGCCTAACTCCAAACTGAAGAAAGTATTTCAGTTCTGGGAGCAGTGTTGAAACAAAATTTGGAGTTTCCAAACCCCCTTGCTTTCTAACACTCCTCTCCGAAGTGGGAGGTTGGGTGCAGTTGGGCAAGAATTCCAAGATAAAAACTCAATAACAACCAAGTTGTTACTAAGCAGGCATTCCTTATTGCAACGTTGGGCTAGCAGTGGAGATCACTTCCTCCATGAGTGCTGTCATGAGTTAGCAAAACACACCAACTCATATACAGGGAAAACATACATATTCATCAGATTTCCTGGAAAAGGCAGTCTCATGCTAATGGATTCCCGGAATTCACTTTTACATAGTCTGAGCATGCTAGTAAAGTGAGGGTGAGGGTCTTCTCCCCCTCCGGTGGTTGTGCATAGTCCTCCTCACACTGTCCCGTAGTTGAACTTTGGGTTTCCTTTGGCCATACATGGTCCTGGCATGGGCTCATCCGTCCTTTGGCCCTGGAATGTCTGTTTAAACCAGCTCCCAGGTGCACTTATCTTGCCTCTTTGTCCTTCTTGGCACTTATCTTAATGTCTTGAGCCACTGTTATCAGAGATGTACCCAGAAAGCTTAACAGACAATCTCAAGACCTATTTGATCTCACCAGGCAAGGAGTTACATGTAAAACTGCGCAAGTGATACTAGGAAAAGAATACAAGTGAAGCTTCTATATAACGCAACAAAAGTATCAGTAAAAGAATACTGGTAAAACTTTTATGTATTGACTTGGGAGTACCAGGAATATAAATCCTTTCAGTGTCATGATGCTGCTTCTCACTTTGTCCCCCAGGGACTAATGGTGCACTTCGCTTTGTGTACCCCAGGGCTGGGAAGGAAAGAGGAGCTTGGCAAGAGAAGCAGCAGGCTGTTGGGCCTGGTTTACTTCATATCCCCAGTGCATAGTGCCTTCCAATTTTCTCCATGAGGTTAATTAAAATAAATCAACTGCAAGCAAACTGCTGCAGATTTAAATGCACATAAGATTGCAGTAGGATTCTGTTTATCTTTTCTTTTTGGAATGTGTCCTCTTGCATAAATGGATTTTACTGAAAGCAAGTAAGAGAAGGAAATCAAACACTACATCATAGTAGCACAACAGGGCTCATATTCTGAAGATGGATTTTGTTGTACCTAGATGTAATATGTAAGTCCATGTAACCTGCCTAATTTTTCCTAAATAAATATAAAATAAATATAAATAATAATAATTCAATAATATTCAATTTATTTGAGTAAAAGTAATAATAGAGGTTAACTTGCTCAGCATTGACACATCACAGTTGTTTCCAGTGAAAATTCAAATATTTTTCTGCTTAAGGCAGTTATTACAAAAAAAAAAGAATAGAAATTTGCCTTCCCAATAATTTTTCCCTGTGTACAAATATAAAGTTGTGGCAATGAACAAAAGCAGGAAAATTCTCCCTGCCAATCAGTCAGTGTGGGAAGAACAAAGAAGGTTCCCTTGGTTATTGTGCAGACATAGGAGGAATAAGGGCTTCTTTCATCAGCCATGGTACGAATCCTGGACAAATTAAAGTGTTCCAGGGAGCCAACTGTACTGTGGTGAAGGACAGTCTGAGAGCATCATCCCACTCCTGGAAGGTCAAGTCCCTACTCTGACCCCAGGTGAAATAGCTGAATTTGCAGGAAACAGTTCCCATGAGAAAACCCAGGTGCGCAGAGCTACGTAAATTGATTCCCATATTGTCCCAAGGGCCTAGCCAAAAAGTCCTTAAGTTTTGTACACATGAGAAGAAACTTGGAGTCAGTCATTTCTGTTATGTTTGTTAGTGAATGAGTACACTGATAAGCATCCTTGAAGGATGAATCTATTTCTGGAGTGCTTTCCTCTACGTAGTATTGGACCTCTTTACTTCACAAATACTCTTTATGCTGTTCCTTACATTATGTTTTTCTTGAAGGATACACTAAAGGGTGAGGGCTGTTAATTTTCTTTGGTGCCACAACTTCCTTGTTATCATATTTGTATTGGATCTTCATTTGTGCCTGCATACAACTGTGTTTATTCAGTTGTCCTAGAGCTTCTTTCCGATGCAATTTCAGAGGTGATTTTAAACCAGCTTCAGCATCTGTGCTTCCTTTTGTGTAAGCTTGTATGTTCCCACCGCTCAAAAGTACTTCCTGTCACATGGTCTTACAATTGAATGCAAGTCTTGCAAAACAGAAAAGGTCCGAGCCACTTTCTCAAAAGAAGAACTTCAGGAAATTTTGTCAAAGGACTTTTTAGAATAGCAGTTTGTACCTTTCTAAACCCGAGTTGCAAGGTAATTTCTTAATAATTATTTATAAACTTTTATATAACTTTTATTTAGAGATAAAATACATGCAAAATGTATTAATTTTCATTTTAAAACATCTTGATTGCATAACTTAATTTGAAACTTATACTGCCTTATTAATTCCTTTACAAATGTATTCACATTTTATCAAGTGTAGGCAGGGTAAATAAGCCAGTTGAGTTTTCCTTTGATTTACACTCTCCATATTGCAAGGTGACAGAAAAATGGTTTAATATATAGGCTAGGAATATAAGAATCTTTACTATATTATTTTCATTGTGCTGCTTTTCAGTATCTTGGTCACAGGCCTACTCTTACTTTGGCTTTGATTTTTATAATCAAAATGTTCTAGTAAAGGTACGAAAGAAATACACTTAGAAAAGGATGCCGTCAATATGTAATCTGCTTAATGAATTTGCTTCTTATGCCACCATCGCCCAGGGATCTCCCTTGAGATATCTGCGACTATATTGATGGCTTCATATCGAAAAAGCATTTCCTGGTTTATGTCCACCTCCTGTTGCTTCACAAAATTCACTTAAAGACAAGGGAGGCAAAGCATGCAGGCAAGGTGAATTTGTTTTTACCTCTGCAGACAAGGAATGCATAAAAACAACTTCCTTATTAATAAAAACAAAATTTTGTGCTGCCAGAAGAAAGTTTATAAATGTAAACTTCACTGACTCATAGTGGAAAACAAATGAAAAGTCGGTATTGCTTTTCTTTTTCTGTTGCTGTTGTCTTTTGGAAAAATTTGAGCATTGTCTCTGCAATATTAGAATTCTAGGCAAACTTCTTTGAGCTAATGCATCTAATTAGGTTGTCAGTCCAGTGAGTGAAGGAGGCGACTGCTCCTCAGTTTTATAGGTAATGCTGCCGGTAACTCTGAATGTGGGGACAAAACCAAAACCTTTTCCCTGCAAAGGTGTGTTCACCTCCTAGCAGATCTTGTGTTCACTTGACACAGGACAGGTGGTATTTCTAATCTGTTTGTAAAAATGCTTTTTGACTGACAGCTGAAAGGCTGGTGTCCAAGTGTTTGAGTAGTATAGTTTTAAAAAAGAGGTGCTTGGATTACTCTTGAAGGTGTTGTCTTACACATTTCCTCATGGAAATAAAGTGACCCTTTCAAGTTTGGCACATATTGTCCTTGCTAAGGTGTGGAAAAATGTTGGATTTCAATAGCTTTCTTCTGAAAATGCTCTGATGTGCTGTGTGTTTTTAACAGTACTGTTTACTCAGAAGGAGAAGCTGATTTTTCAGATTTCTCAAGATCAGTTTCAGTGTTTATTTCAGTGTAAGGTTTCCCAAATAATGGTAACAAACCAGTTAATGTAATGAGAAAACTATCTTATGTTGTTTTGGGAACTGCTTTTTGGGAGGTGTGAGTCCAGGGTCTGCCAGGCTCCCCCTGCCAGCTCTGACTGAGGAGTTGGCTCCCTTCAGCAGTCAGCTGGCAGCAGCAACAGAGTTTAAAGAGTGACTGATTATATGTGCAAAACCACAATAGCCAGAGAGCTTAAATTCTTTGGGAGAAGAGGGGTTTTTTTACAGTTTCTGCCACTACCTTCCCTTTTGTTTATTATTCTTTCATTCTTTCCTCCTGCAGAAATCACACCAGCCTTGCCAGAAGGAGAGGCATTTTGGCTTTGCCTCTACTATTAAGCCTAGAACCTCTGCAGCTGGAAATTTTGCTCTGTTTCATTGTCATCAGCGAATGACTGCTGTATCTCTTTGCTTTAGCAAACTGGAAAAATGGGAATGAAGAGACAAACAACAAAGCTGTTGCTGTGGCTGTTGATGTTCCTCTCTCACACTGTGCCATTCAGCTATGAGAGATCAATGAGAGAGCGAGCTATCAGGCTGATGCAAGATACGCATTTAATCGATGGGTATATAAAATATGTTCAACTAAACCCTCTTTGTGAATCTTGACAAGTGAGGAGGAAATGTTGATGTGTGTTTGTCACTAGCACATAGCAGTTAGCTACTGTCACAGTGATTTGTCTGGAAGGAATTTTGGTTCAGAGGGTACTTGCTATGGGATCAGGTTATTCTAAATGCATTTGTGATTTTCTGGTCAGGTTTTGCCACTTTATTATTGTTCCCCTTTACATAATGTCCTTGTCTTCTTTCCGTAATTTAATGTCATCTTTTATTAGCAATAACTTCTATGCAGAGCTAGAAAGCAGGCATTATGCCTTGAAACGGTACCCTTACAACTTGAAGGAATGATGTCTGTGGCGAGTATGTTTTGACCTGGGAACACAAACAGTGATTATTCTAGCACAGACAGCACTGATTATTTTACCACAAGTACTTCCCTCTAAGGAGCATGGTGGCTGATTTCAGTTCTTCCACTCCTTCAGAAATGATAGGGAGAAAAATAGGTACAGAAACACAATAGCTATAAAAATGGGAGAAGCAAAAATTCTCATCCTGTCCTAATTAAGAAATAAAGCTTGTTTGCAAAAGAAGGTAGACATTTAAGGATATGATCCTGCAAGGATTGTTGGCAGTTAACGGTCTAAGGGACTAAGAACCATGGAAGAAATTATGTTTGAGTTAGAAGGGGAACAATTTATTTCTATCACAAGCATATTTGTTTGCAATTCTAGCCACAATGACTTTGCACTGCAGCTGAGAATATTTTACCAAAATAGACTCAGTAGAGTCAACTTAAGAGAAATCAACAAGACCCACTCAAACCTTGTGAAACTTCAGGCTGGTTATGTGGGAGCTCAGGTACGTACTGCTGTGGGTATGAGTCTGAGAACATATCTTTACATTTGCAATCTTCCCTTCCCAATCACAAAAGTACTCCTGGCCTTGTTTTTGGCTCTTTCTATAGAAAAAGAAAAAAGAATTAAACTGAAGAGCCACAGACACTTTTCCATAACATTTGTGGTTCAAAAGTTTGTGTTTTATAATCCGGATACTCTTAAACCAAAACAATGGCATTTATTTTGTGATAAATAAACTGACATCTGCGGTGAGCTGAAAACAAGGAACCGACTCAGCAGATGAATGCCAAGTAAAGTTTTTATTTTCTACTTTTATAGCTACAGATAAGGACCTGGCTATGCAGCCAATCAGGATGTTCACACACTACAGCACTTTCCCACCCATCATTTCCCACATTTTATAGCCCAGTGTTCCAAGACCAATATCCTGTCACATACCACGCATACCATTCAGCCAGTGTTCTGGTCGAGAGAACCCAGGCACGCAGTGCTCGGTGTAGTTTTGAACTCCTACTTTTAGGCTGGTCCAAGGTCATGTTATACTTAATAATAACATAGTTTAGTCTTCTAAAGATTGCCTTTGTATAAATCCCAGCTGCTATTCATTCTCCTAATCATGTTCTCATGGGAATCCCAGCTTCTGTAGTGCCTTGGCTTGCAGCCTGTTGATGTTTCTCCACAAACATCTGCTTTCCTGCATGTACTGTGGAGAGGCTGAGTGTGTCAGGAGGCTTTAATCTCGTCTGGAGTGGATGATCTTGCCTTGCATCATAACTCCTCCTTTGGGGGGAAAAAATATAGTGGCAACTCCCTTGTAAACTAGGAAATTATTTTGGTTTGTGCTTACAAGCTTCACTGTTAGCAAATGAAAGTTTGAGTTGAAACACAAGCTTTCTAGTTTACTTGTCAATGTCTTTTTCAGTTTTGGTCAGTGTATGTTCTTTGCAGCGCTCAGAACAAGGATGCTGTGCGTCTGACCTTAGAGCAAATTGATGTTGTCAAGAGGATGTGTAACAGCTATGAAGAGCTTGAACTTGTGACAACTTCCCAAGGTGATGCTCTTTCTTGTAACAGGAATTCTTTAAATGGGATTGCAAGGAGGTATGTGCAAAAGACAGAAAGCTTCAACCAGGCAAGTTGTCCTGGTTTAAAGAGAAACTTTAACTGCAGTTTTTTTACTGAACCACAAGAACTGACTCCATACAGACCCGGCCCACTGAAGTAATGAGAAAATTTGCCTTTTAAAGATGCAGTAGTATAAGCTGCTGTTCTGTGAAAACATCGGTATCATTGCTTGCAATTTACAATAACAATTGTTCCTCAGTAGTGCTGGCTTCTTATCTGTCATGAAATTACTTTGGAATTAACTTCCTTTTGTTGTCTGCAGGTATCTCTGACAGCAGAAGGATTGCATGTTTGATTGGAATAGAAGGTGGTCACTCCATTGACAGCAGTTTGGCAACGCTGAGGATGTATTATGACCTTGGTGTTCGTTACATGACTTTAACGCATTCCT